ACCCACCCACAAACTAACCAACCACAATCATCTCTTATCACAAAGAATTATACAACTGGCATTAACGCATCCACCAATGAACCTTTCCACTTATCTAACCACCAACCAAATCACCCACCCACCCACAAACTAACCAACTACAATCATCTCTTACACAGGCGTCTGTTATGACAAATAACCACCCAACGCACAATTGACCCATCAATCAACCAATTCTTTCATACACTACCTCAGTCACTCCCACCAACCCACTACACCTAGCAATGCTTGCCAGAACGTCACCAATAACACAAAACAAAAAACAGCACAAGTGGTTATTCAGTCTGCGGCTAAAGAATCGCAGAAAAATCGATCATCKAAAGGTCAGAAAATAATTCATAAATGTAAAAGGGACGCAAACTTTTGTCATGCTTCTTCATGGTATAGTGAAATTAACAAATCGAAGGCACCTTTCTTTGGGTCTGTACTGTAATCGACAATGAAAATGACGTCAAAAATGATTCAAACTCAAGTGGAACCACGAGCGTAGCGACCAATCAGCGCGCGAGAATCTTACAAGTTATAGTAAAAATGTTTATTCTTACCACGTGACCATGCCCGTCTGACAGACCTCCACGATCGCATCTCTCTAAAGAACTTGTGTTGTAGAAATTTGACTTTCTGTAGTTTCAACCAGTCTCCCATTTCAATGGCGTTAAAGTTCTTCTTATAAAACGTTCTGTATCTCCAGTAGCTTTGAATGCAGCGAGCGGCAATCGTCTTTTTCTGTCTCAAATGTCCTAAGAATACAGAGAAACGTTTATATTGCTGCGCTCTTATGGTATGGCATCGTTTTTGAGTTCTCATGATTCTTGAGACAATAATTGCAAAGTYAATTCTATGCGAGGAAAAAAATTGAGCTGGTGAAATATTCATTCAATGTTGCGTCTTTGAAGTATTGAGATTTAATTTTGCAATGTGTTATTTACATGAGGTCATGAYGTCTCTTTTCTTCAAACTCTATCATTCTCTTCACGGAAAATCACTAAAATTGTTCTCTTTGGAGTCACGGGAACTCAAAATACGGGTTGGAAAGTAAAGTTTAGGACAGTTTTTAGGTATGACTTTTGCAAGATTTCATGCCATTTACTCATAGAGACCGTATAAAAAGGCGATATTAAGTTTCTTTATTTTATCATGGCAAAACATWATAAATTGCGGGCTCGATTACAATCCTCTTTGCAATGCGCTTCTTCAATGATCAAATTGGGTATGTTCATTAAAATCTCCCCTGACTCTTTGATTTTCATCTCAAATTTTACTTTCAACCCGTTTTAAACAGCAGCAACAATCGTTCAGTTCTACAAACTAACCTGCATTCTCGATGTACGCAAGAATACGTTTCTCTTGTGTTGTTAACTGCAGGGTCTCGTGAACAACACTTATGAACAATGCCATAAGGAATATCCCCAGCACCGATGCAAAGCCGACGAGCCCTCGAGCGAATACACTCACCGGTACTACGTCACCAAATCCTAACGTTGTCATAGTAACAACCATCATCCATGTTGTGTCCTTTTGAAAGAAAGGAATTATTATCAAGTGCGCATGTGCGATAACGTTTCGGTCCCACATGGAATAACATTTATCGTCCGTTCATTCAGAATACATGGCTGATTATTCATTCATTACAAAATCAATGCGCATGCAAATCTTGCAAATCTTTTAGTGATCAGTCTTTTATCTTTATAATTCTCAGCTTCAACATTATAGTGTAGACCTTATCGACAGCACCTTAAAATGTGGGATAACTACTGTAGATATCATTCAACACGCGCATGCTCATTAGAAGTTTCATTTCTATTGCCAGTGGGTTGTTATTGGATCATTTATCTGCTCTAATTTAGGCTTACAAGTAATGAAGTTTTCCATAGCTAACGAACCTTGCCAACAGAGCAAACTATTGTTTTTAACAGAGCAGGTGGAATAAACTATGAAAAATAAAAAAAAAACATGGGTTGATTCATTTTTAAAATCGGCACTTTTTAAAAATACCGGAATTTTCATTGGACATTAAACGTAAGTTTCGGACTCTCAATAAACATTTAAGTTGAAGAACGGCATTGAATCTATTTTGTCCCTTGTTTTCCTGCATTTCATTTCTTACTTCGGTCACACGAGAAACCTCTATTAAAAAAAAAGCTTTTATGCTTTTAAATTTATAAGTATTCATTTCTATTCTTTGATTTTTATTTTTAGACTCTTATAAGTTTGATCAAGTAAAACAGAGCAAAAACTGAATATTAATTTGCAAATGATTTCCGTGAAGATTATCAGTTTCGTGAATGAAGCTTCCTTTTTTGCCTCCTTTCGTTTCCTCATGCCCAGAAATATGCGTTGAAATATYGTAAACACTTTGCTTTTCGAGATTGTTTCTAAGAAACGCTGATCCGTGCAAAACATAACAATAAAAACATCTGTAGTGTTATCAAAGTTTACTACTCAAAATATCCAATGAAATGATGAAATGACAAATTAGAGTTTACTTTGACCCTTAATAATCTATTTACGTTTAGCAAGCTTAATGCGGCCAYGACAGTAGTGAATTGTCATAGAAATTGCTATAAACATTCATAAACACATTCATCGAGTGATTTTGCAGTCAGCCCCTTTCAAGTTAAATAATCGTAGCATGCATTAGAAAGATGTAAATGTCACATTTAATAGAAAACTTTTTAAGGTGTTTGCAATTTCCGCAATAATTTGAGCTTATAACAGTAATTTTGTCCTCTAAAATCTTTTCTTTTTCGTCAGCCGCAAATATATATTCAACTTTCATGATTTCAGTTTTCCTTCGTATTATGAACAAGAGTCAGACTAGAGAACTCGTACTAAGCAAAAGAGAACAGCTGATAATTGGCAAAAARCATGTATAAATTGTACATTGTAAAGCTAATGTGCTCATCTAATCAATAGTTTAAGGTATTTAATGCAGTTCTTGTTGATTCAATAGCGTTTTTCGTTTATGGAGGATGTTGAAGCGGATGTTTTTGGGCCGTAGTCATGAATTATCTCGTTACTTGTACGTTAATCTTTAATGGCCACCAAATACGTCTTGAACATTAGTAATTTTTTTTCGCCGTTTATTTAATTAAACTCTTTTGCTCTCCCATTTATTTATTCATTTATTCATGTGTTCATTTCTTTGTTCCTTCATCCCCTTATTTGTTCCATCCTGAAATCCATAYCTTCTGAACCATCCCTTTCATTCCCGTTCTTCCATTCATTTTATTCATTCATTCATTTTTTTCATCAGTTATCCATTCGATGATTTCCCATAAGGCATTCACGTTATATTTCCTTYTTTATTTTTCATTTTTTCAACCCTTTCTCATTCTTTTATGTATTTGTTTACGTTTACTCCTTTCATCTGCTTATCACATTCAATCCTTTATAATATGTTTTATCTTCGTCTATTTCTCTCTTGTTCCTATGTAGACAGTGAGTACTAGACGAAAACAAACAGAAACATTTGATTTTTTTTTTGTTCCTTCAGTATCCTTTCAAAGATTTCAAAGATATATAATAAAATATGTAGACTTTTTTTATTTCCATGCTTTCCTATCTTATTCCGGGGGACAAAAACGAAAACACACTTTGCGTCTCCCGTCCGTAACAAAACAACACAATGACCAATATCTTCATATAAATTGTAAAACTTTGAAGATTTGTATAAGATTAGTTTGAAAGACGTCTTTCAGCGCAAATACAACATTAAAAGCTAAGTAGTTTAGTATCAAGCTCAGCTGATATATGGTTTCACGACTTGATAAAATTATTGTTTTAAGGCAATAGAAAATCTCGGCCAAACACGGTAGGTGTGTGGGCACGAAAAATGATGTGTTTACTTTACTTTCTTTGCAAAACAGATACAATATCTTATGAAAGCACTCCAAACATTGTATGTTTTTAGAAACCTCTTTTGACTAAAGAAATAACATACAGACCACAAACTTCTAATGATACAGGCCTACAGTAGTTTTTTTTTAAAAAACACCGCCACCCTTTTGAATTCATAAACAATGTACACTGTAGGCGTGCCTTATTCATAGTTATAGGAAAACCTTACTCTGTTTTGCTCTTATCTGAGTGTGATATGGAGCTTTTAGCTGTTTGCTCTTATCAAAGAGCTGACACTTTTAAAGTCAATAACCCTTTATAGACATATTTTCCGTTTGTTTTTTTTTTAAACACGATACTATTTCTTTTCTTTCTCATTGAACTCACACTTTTTATTACTTTGGCTTAATTTTGTTATTTTTTGTTTGTTACATGGCAACGCCTTCATTTGGTATCAAAGTAGTTGAGAAGTTTTCCAGCATTTCATTGTCATTTCCCACTTATTTCTTATTAATTTGTTTTCCTTTTTCTCACCATTGTCGCATTTGATGTAATAACAGTTATTGTTTCGTGTTTTCTACTTAACTTCATTCTCATTTCTCAGTAAAATTATATATATTTTTTATTTTGTCTAGTAGCTTCTTATTTTTTTTTTTATCGTTCTGATCGATCAGCTTTTCCCACTTAATTCTATTTCACCCCCACCCCACCCATATTTGAAAACTTTTTTCATTTCAGTCTTATTTCTTTTTCGCGTTCTCTATCGCCGCATCTGTCACCTGAATTGACAGTAGTTATTATTCCGTGTTTGTGCACACTTGTTTGTTTGCAAATATCACACATGTTTGCCGTTCCCGCTTCCGTCTCACGTACTGCCTTCATATCTTTTTTTAAGATTTGATTTCTCAGTGTTCCTATGCACACAAGACATTTATATATTTATATTGTATTTGTGTAGCTTTTTATCAGGTTTACGCATGAAAAAACTGCGCAAAGCTCTGATTTTTGAACCAAAGTGTGTTTAGTAAAAAAAGTCATTCTAAAAAATATCTAATATATTATCATCAACTTTTTTGATGTAGCGTGTTTCATTGGTGTTGCCGAAACCATGAATTAATACCACCTGCCGTATTGGTTATTCTATGTGATGAATATCCCATGAAAACATAACCTTTTTGTCATGAACAGAGCAATAGGTTTATAATTATATTGGTCTTCGAAACAAAGAATCTGATATACCCACAAACTGTATACGATTGAAAACACCTTGTTAAAGTTATATCCCACAGTTTTTCCGAATAATTTACGCCACAATGAATACAGATAATGATTTAAGATTGTGGTACTTTTAAACATTATATACATCGTGATTAATGCTGTTTTCGTTAGGTGATATTCAAAGTCTGTGAGGGCTGTCTTCAATTTGCCCTAAATTTGCATGCAGCAACGTTTTGAGGTATCTTATTTGTGACGAGAATTTCCTCGGGCTCCTCTAATGTTATTCGCCGTTCAGAATCTTACAACGAACGACTTTCGACTCTTGAGTATTTGTAAATCATTTGACAAGAAAAACTGTATTTTTCATTGTCTGTAAAACGCAACTTTATGTGCTAAAAAATCGATACAAAGTAATTGTTTTGAAGATCAAAAATATGGATAAACAAATTTCATTAGATTGCAAAAAGCCATTTAAGTGCTATATAGCATTTTAAAGGCTTTTCACYAGCAAGTATCGATTTAAAAAGTGGAGTTTTCCATTTGTCGCAGCTTCCATCTCGACATGTGTCGACCTACACGTCAAGATAAATTTAGATCAAAGTTAGTGCTGATTTACTAACGTTCCAAGCGTCTATGATGTATGGTCGGACCATTACCAGCTCGCTCGCACACAAAAACAGTCTTCAAAAACAAGATCTTCTAAGCTGCTCCTTAAAATTGACCATCAAATATTCTGATATTCGCTTCCAGATATTTATGTTCCTGCGAGTGAAAGGGCACGTCRTTTACCGCAGCGAATCTGAACTAGAAATTGAGCTCTTGCAGTTCGCCCATAAGATGCTAAGAATATAATTGATTTTCAATGCRTTTGACCTTGCTCCTTTCCGTGGCTCTTTTGTTGATTTTTTTTCTGTAAACCTCTTAGATTTTTTCCACGAATCGACTTTAATTTGATTGAATATTTATCAGAAAAAGATCAATTATTACAAAACGAAAAAAAAAGTCATTGTKGATTCCATAATGTTTGTGTGTGTGTTTTTTAAATCCTGTTTTTAGATGTTCAACTATCTTTTTAGTCTTCTAAACAGCCTTGTTTTTTTTTTCAATTTCCACACCACCTAACACCTTAAGAAAAAGACCTATTATTTCACCACAAAAACCTTAACACTTGGGTCTCGCAACACTTAATCGTCAATTAGAACGAATAATTTAGACTTCCACTGTCTTGTTAATGCTGGTTGTGAATCTAAAAAAGACTAGTTCWCATTCTCGTCWACTCTCAGACTTCGCGTTAAAATCCATTCTGTAAATTTCGAGTTTGTTCATTATTTAAAAGGCAGTGAACACTAAACCTCATAATTTGAGATCTGTTCTTGAGAGTATTTAAGACAAAAGGCTATTGAAAAGGCTCTCTTTTGATGATGAACCCCTTTGAAAATCCTTTTATCTCCGTCAAATGTTTTTTAATCCGAAAGAGAACCCACAACGGCCCCCAAGGGAAAAGTATTGGCCAAACTATCGCTTATTTTCGATACTCCATCCGCAGAAACGATGGTGTCTTATATTGAGATCTCTATACCATTATTTAGAAACGAAATTCTCATATGATCTCATCAATATTTGATTACTGCTGTAATACCTTATTATCTTAATGAAATACACAGCAAAACACACAGAATTGAAAACATCTCATCGCTATTAGCAACGCGTTATAGTCAAAATTAATCGCGCCTTACTGCTGCTATAGATTTTAATRAAACAWCATCGCGCGAACAAAATATTGCTTTCCTTGAGGTCATATGTTAGAACTGAACTTATGTCAAACGAATAAGAAACCATGAGTCGTAAATGGAATATTATGCATCGTTCCGTTATACGTAGTGAATTACTTTATATTATATAAACTTTGTTTACAATTAAAAACTGTGAACTCACCAGATAGGAGTGAGACTCCTCAATGACATAAACGCAATAGCCTCCAAGGAAAACATTCATGATGTAGAACGTAAAAATCAACTTGAACGGCTCTTTGAGAAAATACGTCTTGACCAGAAAGCTAGATGATATATCAGTTTTAGTTACGGAAGCTAGTAGGTTTGTAGCTTGGTTGTGGAATAGCTCACTTCTTTCTCTTAAGCATCTCGTCGCGAGGTAGAGTCTTAGAAGAACGAGGAGTTGGAGTTTGTACACATATGGGACGCCCAGCTCGTCCACAAATGGCGGCACATGAATCAAACAAACCGCGCACTCAATGCAATATTTTGGGAATAAACTTGATGTTAGAAAACCCTCCGACTCGTGATAAAGGTTTCTTATAATGTTAATTCTACGAGCATTCATGTAAATATTGTGAATCACGATGGCCGTCATTATGGAAAGCAAAGATAGAATTCCTTTAAGTACAATTCCTGTCAGTCTACTTGGATCACCTGTCAAGGTCTCTGTACTTGGAACTGAAGGTCTAACTCGCCTTCTTCTAGTTATYTCAATGTCTATTATGGCTAACAAGGCTGCTGCTAGCGCAAAAACAAAGCTAATTCCCGACAATACCCTCATACGACGATGGTAGATCTTTTTAATTGCGTCCACATCGCGAAAGCTCACCAGAGTCTGGTCAAGCGACGAATCCGACCTCAGATTCGATTGAAACGTTCGTTTCGTCTGGGAGCTTATACCCGTGACTGTGGTTGCGTTTCCCGGCTGTACCGTGCTGTGTGCCTTTAAGTAACGATTCATTTCACCTTGAGATGTAGAACTACATCCATCAATGAATTTAAGCTCAAGATTTTGACCATTATTAACATGACGACTTCCCCGGTCTGGTTCCATTACGCTGAACTAAAGCAAGTGTGAAAACCTTCACTGTGCCGTGCGACAAAGTAGTGTTGTTTGACCTGGCGCATTCCATGTGTTTTATAGAAGAGTTACTGCTAGTTTTTTTTGTGATAACCGTGACAGCCCGGCTGCTGAAGCCAACCAATTGCGTCCGTCAGCCTGGCATGCGCAGTTGATAGACCTTAGTCGACATTTAGCAATGCGCACTGCCCTCTATTTAATTTTTCTTTGTTCGAGTCTAAACAACTCAATGAGAGCTTGTCATTTCAAAGTTTGTTATGTCTCTAACGTTCTTTTCCTGTGAGATATTTGTACTTAAGACTCCGACAATAAAAACCTGAGGCCACGRTWAAATGCGCTAATGGCTCTTCTTTTGAAAGGCGCGTTTAGCAGAATGAATGGTTTAAAAAAAAWATATAGTTACAAAGCAGGAAATTTAGGTTAATTATGATCTATAGTATTTATACAGGGGKTTTTGCCTCAGAGATCGATTTAKAGACTTTTTATGCACAAAAATCAGGAGTACTGTTGTTGTGACCAAGCGAACGTGAGATCGAAATCAAATTTGAGTGGTTCTCTTGTCAAATCTGATGATCCGTCGGATTGAAGAGATGTTTTTTCTTGATAACTAACGAGCAACTTTTTTCATATTTTTGATAAAATGAATTATAGTTAACTATATAAGAAATGAACCAGCGTAGCATAAAATATGAATGGTTTTTCTTGATGAAAACAAGCACAGCTCATCTCGATAATAATGCGTAATCAAGATTCATAAACTTGATCTTTTGTCTTAACACACAGTACAGGTGTAGCTAGTAACCGAAGGACGAAAATTCAAATTCATYGAAAAAACTGCCACAATGTAGATAACAATGTGTGATAACCTTTTCAGCTTCTCTTTTGTTTTAACAGTATTTCTGAAAACCTTTTTCGGTCTTTGTATAAATAAAAKGTCCAATTGTCATCTTTAATTATTATTTTTTTCTTGCATCCGTGTACAAGTTGTTCTTTTCATGTTTTCACAGCATATATTTGGACGTAATAGTTTTTGACATTTGAAATGCTAAGACTCCGATTTCTAAACCCCTTYCAGACGTGCTTTAGAGTTTAACTCTATCTTCACAAAATATCATCTATCAGTAACATTTTAAAAGATTAATGTATACTTTTAGCCTTAAAACTCGCCTTTAAAAACGTCCTTTGAATATTAAAGACAAAGCCCTTTATCGAAAAGTGATTTCAAATCAAGTTTTCTATCCTGACTTCGGTGATAACTTCACTAAGTCTGATCAAGCGATATCRTACTTTTGTRCTYTTGTCATTCATTGGCTAGTGCTCTAACAACAAAGAAAACTGGTCTGTGCGATGATGCCAACAGCAATCCAAAGATGTTTGTTTTTGAATCTCTACGCCCCCCGATGTGCTGTTGCGATCTTTCATATTTTTAAACCCAAGCTACCGTCACGAACGCTCATATGAACAATCGGAYTGTTGATAAGAAAAGAAGGCGCGAGGAGTTGCGTTATCTTGTGACGAAGACACCCAAGGTTTTGATGTCAGCCGTTTTATATCTGCAGATGTAAAGAAATACCTCGTGGAGTAGCCGCAAGACAAAGATAACAAGGATTTGCAGTGCATCTAATAAAACTTGAAAGGAAGGGGGAAATAGCGTGAAAGAAACATATCAAATTCATGCGAAATATAAAACTTACTGATCGAATAACTGAGGCAAAACAGCGGGGAAATGAGAGCAAATTAATTCACAAATTCGTGAATGAATAAACAAATAACCAATAAATGAATAAACAGGTCATGGATTTTGAATATACACCTGGTTTCATAAACGTTGACCCAAATAAAACCACATAATTAAAAATGAAAATTAAAGCGTTATACAGTTGATTGAGCTTTCTCCGTCTTCCGGCCCAAAATGTTTTCAATGTCAATTCATAGTTCTTTAAACTATTTTTTTTGAAAAAAACTCAATCTGCGTATAATTTTAACATGAATATGGAAAACGCGATTCAAAAAATGTCTTTATATAKTTTTATACATTATCTGTATACAGCTGTGTATTGTAAAATATAAAAAAATGACAATGTTCAGATAGGAATCGCTTTGAAACTAGACGCCATTATTTATGCTATTTGATGTATAATTTTCATTTATTTGAATGTGTGTTTTTGTTAGGAAAGTTTTTTTTTACTAGTATCATGAAAGCGATTTGAACTTTTCATTTGTTCTGTTTCAAAAATTGTCTGGATTTATTTACTACAGCTAATTGCAAACACGTAGTCGGATTCCAAAAGGTYACATTATTAAAGCTAAGKCCGAAAGGCAKCATGGGAAAGCAAATTTTACGATTATAACAGCGTTTTAATGTCAAAAGTTGCCTGCACTGAATACAATGACCTTCTATGCAACATGTATAGTGTTTGAATTTCTGAGTACTTAAAATCCCCCCTTCGGTGTAAGCATCGATGATATCCCTTTTTGCGACCCGACAAAATTAATTCAATAACTTGAATTGGTTCACTGCGGCGAAAGATGYAATCTTGGCCAAGTTTAGTATGCATGTTTCTAGAAAGATTAATTGCGCCAGGTAAGTATTTTGACTGATACAAATAAACCCCATCTTTCAAACCTAAGTCAAGGTAAAATGCAGAGAAAGACTTTTTATGAAAAATAAGCAGAATATAAATAACTGACATTCTTCTTTGCGACGGACGTGTCCATGTAACTGGGATTGACAGGACGGTCTTCAAAGCTGTGTTGTTGTTGTTATTGTTGTTTTTGCTATTAGATTGAAGTCATYAGAACTGCGAAATAAAATTGTCTATTAAAGTGTGATAGTCAAATATACACAGAAGAAAACAATGGAATTAAAGTGTTCCAAGGTGTATTCCGTGTAACATCTATTTCACGGCTACTCTCTCTCTCTCTCTCGGTTTGGAGATATTTGTTCGTTAAATGAGCCGACATTTTGAATATCGAGATGGAGACTGGGTMCTATTAAAGATCTTGCGTAAATTCGTTTATCTTTTTTTATTATTATTTATTTGAGAATTTTTTTYCTCTTTTGATAAAAGATGTTTAAAAATAAGTCAATTTACGTCAATCAAGTAATCAATAGTTATTTGCAAGAAAAGAAAAGGAAGGAGCTTGCCTTGAGTCAGTAATGATCATGAAAATATACGCAAAGCCTCGCGACGTCACTCACTCATTCAGTAATTTTTATTTTCACGATATAACTAGCTTTGTAAGTTTGGTAAGATATGCTTTTTTGTTTTTTGAGTCGGAGTGMAAGCCTTCTYAATCCTTTCAGCAKGCGTGAGACGTTATCCATTATAAAGTTTATTTATTTTAATTTTATTTTAAAAATCTTAAAACGTGCCTTTTAAAATTTCTKTTTATATTAACGGTCAAAGACCTATATTGAAAAGCAAATGGAAATAAAGCTTATCCAACCTTAATGTTTATGAGCTAATGTGGGCCAAATCAAGCCGTTGTCCCTGCTTAAAAATACAGTCGAAAGTATGACCTATCGTATCTTAAATTGTTGCCATGTCAGATTCTGTGGCAGAGAAAGCTAGCAGCAGCTTAGTAGGAAATTCTCAGACAGAAGTAAGCGAGCAACCAATGTAACATTAACTTTATTTATCAATGCTAGCATTATATCGATCGATACRTGTTTCTAAATTCAATATTTCTTTTAGTTGTCAGCAGAATATTTAGCTTTTGTTTTCACAGAAGTTCGGAAATTAAATGCCAAAAATCCTTTTAACACGTTGCGGGTAGGAGTCTGTTAAAATGTAAACAATTGAAGCTGAGTGAAGCTAACTGTCCATTATAACTCGACATAAATCAGTAATGGTCTAAGTTTATTTTCTTTTTCCTACATGTACGCTTTGTTTATAACGTCATAAAATACTATACTATATTATAAGTTTTATATYCTAAGTTTACTATATAATATTATAAGTTTTATATATTCTAAGTTTTTTTTCTTTTTCCTACATGTACGCTTTGTTTATAACGTCATAAAATACTATACAATATTATATGTATCTCTTAGTATATTCAACATGATATGCATCTCTCCGCATGCARCACTATCTTTCCTTGAAGTATATAATCTACTCTTGAGCAGGTTGAAAACATAATAATTCAGAGAGACATGACTGRGAGCACGATGGTAAAGTTCTATTTAGTCACCGTCGCTTCGTCSAATAAACCTWGAAATAATACACAATAGATTGTCCTACGAAAAGAATAAATGTTTGAACTCTATTTTTGACAAATACAGCATTTTAATGTTCATTATTTATTGACTTTTACTGGAACTGGATCTTACTGACTGCATATTTACATACTCTGTTTTGCAATGATAAAAGAGCAGTTATTCAAACTTTGACAATAGTGATATTTTGGATGATACCGAACGTACAAACATGGGTGAGCTATATCGCTAAAACATTGTCAAATRTGAAAGCAACGCACGTGGGTGCGAACACGCAAAGAACACGTACGCCAAGCCAATAGTAGATAAGAAAAGGATTGATGCTTGACTAATTTGATAAATTCCAAGCAAAGATTTTATTGATCATTATGCAAACAGACAAAAGGAACGTCGAATAGTCGAGAAACAATGATAGATAGATAGATATGACCTTTATTTAAACATAAAACTAAAAACTCAGGGTAACCCCATTAGTACGCTAAGGGTGCTATCAATAGAAGCCCTGAGCATTAACTAAAATAATAATAATTACAAACATGAAGAAATGCAAAACGAATAGTCGAAATTGCAAAGAAACATATAAATGAAACATATAAATGATAAAACTTATGAATTACTTATAAAATCAATATAAAAATTTAAAATATATAAAATATATAATCACTCTGAATAAAATCTATTATAAATTACAGAACCTTGATAATAAAAGGAACGATAAAAGAGTAGTTTCAAAGTTTGTGTCATTTATTGCCAGAAGCTTTGAAAAGGAAGCTACMATTTGTAGTAGAAACGTTTCTTTGTATTGGCTCATTCCACGTTCAGATRCTTTAGACTCAACTCATCGAGCTGAGCAGCAAATATAAACACTGCATGATGACACAATTAAAATACGCTTCCCTTGAAGTTTGGCCTTTTATTAAAACTCAAACAAAATACAACAGTGCTATAGATCGGAATTGCAAAACAAACCAATAGGCAAACTTTGTCACATAACATCATACCGGATGAATGTG